ATGGGAGATGGTTTGTTTGTAGAAGTCCCAGTTTAAAAGCTATCTCTTGATGGAGGATCTTCCCTACTGAGTCATGCCGTTCCTTATATTCAGTTGCAGCAAATGACGGGCAGCCTCCGGTAAGATGTTGGATCGTTTCTTGGGCTTGACATCCATATCGACTTTTGTCGTTTTGGACCTGAGGGTCTTTTACGATATATTTCAGGTAATTTTTGGTTGGTATAACCTGATCCTGAATGGCGAGTAATGAACCTTCTGTTTCAGGGAACATCTTTTATTATAATTCCAGATTTAGCCATACGGCTCACACTCCCTCTAAGGGGAAAATTCACTCATCCCAGATATCTAGGGTATCAAAAGGATTGAGCTCTGTGGGACTCTTTCCATGTTATCGAGTCTAGGTGACTTGGTACGTCGGTGTATCTCCTAAAATTTTCGCACGCATCTGGATGTCGAAAGTAGCACAGCTTTCTGCATGACCTTATGTAGATGTTAATTTAGACCCAGCTTTTTTATCTTTTCTATGAGGTTCTTCGGAATGACTCCAGTGGTAGAAAGAATAAAAGGTATCGTCTGGGTACTTTTCATTCTCCATTGTCTTCTTATTTGTATTTCCAGATCCCTGTACTTGGCGATCTTTTCGTTGTAGTTAACACCCAGATTATTGTTGTTAGGTATCGCCACATCGATTAGAGTTGTTTGTCTTGTTAGTTTATTAACTAGCACGAGATCTGGTCTATTATGTGCTACAGTTTGGTCTGTGAGCACAGTGCGATCCCAGTATAGCTTGTAGTTGTCATTCTCAAGCATACTCTCAGGAACGTATTGATAATATGGGAGATGGTTTGTTTGTAGAAGTCACAGTTTAAAGCTATCTCTTGATGGAGGATCTTCCCTACTGAGTCATGCCGTTCCTTATATTCAGTTGCAGCAAATGCCTGGCAGCCTCCAGTAAGATGTTGAATAGTTTCTTGGGCTTGACATCCATATCGACTTTTGTCGTTTTGGACCTGAGAGTCTTTTACGATATATTTCAGGTAATTTTTGGTTGGTATAACCTGATCCTGAATGGCGAGCAATGAACCTTCTGTTTCAGGGAACATCTTTTATTATAATTCCAGATTTAGCCATACGGCTCGCACTCCCTCTAAGGGGAAAATTCACTCATCCCAGATACCTACGGTATCAAAAGGATTGAGCTCTGGTGGGACTCTTTCCATGTTATCAAGTCCTAGGTGACTTGGTACGTCGGTGTATCTCCTAAAAATTTTCTCACGAATCTGGACGTCGAAAGTAGCACAGCTTTCTGCATGACCTTATATAGATGTTCATTTAGACCCAGCTTTTTTATGTTTTCTAGGAGGTTCTTCGGAATGACTCCAGTGGTAGAAAGAATAATAGGTATCGTCTGGGTACTTTCCATTCTCCATTGTCTTCTTATTTGTATTTCCAGATCTCTGCACTTGGCGATCTTTTCGTTGTACTTAACACGCAGATTATTGTTGTTAGGTATCGCCACATCGATTAGAGTTGTTTGTCTTGTTAGTTTATTAACTAGCACGAGATCTGGTCTATTATGTGCTACAGTTTGGTCTGTGAGCACAGTGCGATCCCAGTATAGCTTGTAGTTGTCATTCTCCAGCATACTCTCAGGAACGTATTGATAATATGGGAGATGGTTTGTTTGTAGAAGTCATAGTTTAAAAGCTATCTGTTGATGGAGGATTTTCCCTACTGAGTCATGCCGTTCCTTATATTCAGTTGCAGCAAATGCCTGGCAGCCTCTGGTAAGATGTTGTATAGTTTCTTGGGATTGGCATCCATATCGGCATTTGTCGTTTTGGACCTGAGGGTCTTTGACAATATATTTCAGGTAATTTTTGGTTGGTACAACCTGATCCTGAATGGCGAGTAATGAACCTTCTGTTTCAGGGAACATCTTTCCTGATGTCAGCCAATAGTTCGACGCTATCTTGTCGACATAGCCTTGACTGACTTCATTCGGATGTCGCCCGTGCAAAGGTTTACCCATCCAGATGCGCATTTTTTCGTTCTTAGTAAGATGGTTTATGCGCATTTCTTGTTCCCTCAGTTTGATCGGTGTTGTGTCATCTACTGCGCAAATCGCGCGATGAAGAGTAGATGTCTCCGCCTGCACCTGAAAATAAGTTCTTAAATTAGTAATCTGTTATTATTATAATTATATTATTATAATTATTATTATTATTATAACAGTAAGAGTAATAAGGTAAGGAAAACCGAATACGCTGAAAAATCATATTTTCCTGTCGAAATTGATTTGCAGCTTCAATTATTCTAACCCTCAATTGCTGTTTGTCCTCTATTATTACAGAATACACTTGCTCTTTCATAAACCCCCAAAAGCAAAAGTCCATTGGGGTTAAGACCTGGACTTTTGGTTGGCCAAGAAATAGGTGCGTCACGACCCCTCCAATCTAACGACCATGCTACTGCCTGCAAAGGTATTTCCGGACTTCATTACTATAATGCGGTGGAGCGCCATCTTGTAGAAACGATATATTTTGCCTTATTGCAATATTCATTTCTTCCAAATACTCTTGTAAATTGTTTGCCAAGAACTGCAAATAATTATCACCATTTAAATTGTTGGGAAGAAATGGAAGAAATGCAAATAATTATCACCATTTAACTTGTTGGGGTCTATTAGATTGTTATCCACAATTACTGCTGCACTGTTTCCTTGACATTCACCTACGATATTCCCGATAGTTTATTGAAATCATAATTTAATCTGATCAAACTTAACCCAAAGTTAAATGCATATCTGAAATTTCCTGAAATGTGTAGGCCATTGTAATATCTAAATTTTTAATAATATTAAAAATTTAAAGAAACGTATTGAGACAGCTTGTCTACTAAACAATCTCCCCAATTTGTATGATTCACCAAGACCAATAAAAAGAGAAAAATATCTTCACTTGCAATCCCTTAAAAAGAGTCTTGAAAGTGATTATCACTGTTTTTATGACAATTTGCCCTTCAACTAAAATGGTTTATTTTTACGTACCTGCTGTATTTTCTACATTTTGTACTGTCTGCAAATAGTTTAAAATAAAACAGATTTGAAAGTAAATTTATTTTGTTTTTTTTTTTGAACTTGTATCAAGCAATAGTAAAACACGTATGTTCAAGTTTTTTAAGAAAAAATGTTGGAAAAACACGTAAGTCCCTTAAAACTAAAGAAAACTTGTTTTGTGCTAAATAATTTTTATAAGTTGTGAAAGAGAGTTTAAAAAACAGTTGTACACATGTCTGGGCATAATTGAATAAATATTTAATTTTTTATAGCGTTTTTTAGCGCTCCTATACAATTTTACTTACGGGACTTACGGCCTTTTCAGATTAAGGCGACGATATTATTCTTATCCACACAATAAATGATAGCTTTAAATTATTGACAATTATTGATGGAACTGTTTGAAATTATTGTATCCATAGAAACGAATTGTAATTTTATGACCAACTAGGAAAACACTAGTTTTTCGAAAAAGTGATAACAGACAAAAAAGTTTTAAAAATAATGTGTTAAACTAATGATGCCACAAAATTCATTTGATTTGAACGTACTCAAAAGTTTGGGGGATTTAGGGCTGCACACACCCCTTAAAATTTTTCTGTGCACTTAGATTTTGTTATTTCTTTTGTATAAAATAATTAAGCTTTCGGAATAAGTAACGTGTTCATTTTTATTACAAAATGTCAAGTAGTTTAAGAGATAATGCAAAAAAACAAGTTTTTATTTTTTATCTTCAAAGGGCCATAACTTTTTTTGTGTACACTTTTGTACTAAGGTAAGTTGGATTCAATCAATTTATTTTTGTCCCCGAAATGCGTGATTTGGGTTATGACATACCTTTTAGAAACACCTTGTATTTACTTAGTTAGCATAAACGATTTGACTGAATTGGTATTTGCGGAAACGTTCTCAATTTGTCTACCAATTTCAGGAAGTAGCATAGTGATATCCTAAACATTGTGCAAATGAGCAGCTGATGTTTGTTTACAATATTTACACAGAAATTACATTAAGGTTAATGTGACAATATACTCTTTACGTTTTTAGATTAGGATAAATTTTACATTTCCGTTATTATTGTGAATAAATTCATTATTCCTGTAACATATGTTATATAAAATCTTTGACGGAAAATCTATAACATAAAAAGGCATATTTAATATAGAAGTTTTAAAACTAAATGGAGAACTGATCATAGAAATGATCGATCGTTAATACTTTCAATTCACTACATTTCACAATAGTACGTAAAGGGTATTTTTTTTAGAGGTATAGAACTTTGAAATGGAATAAAATAAAGATGATTTTTATAAATTGACATGAAATGAACTTTATTTAAAAGATAATCTTTTGGCATTGTAATTTGAATATGATTTCTGGCATATGACCGTCATGGCTGGCTCTGACGTAGTCTAATCTGGAGGTCAAATTTTGGCACTATTTCCAATATTTATCGCCGTATATCGGCAATAAGGCGGCCAATGTTGTCCTCCAAGTGGTCAATCGTTTTATGCTTATCGGCGTAAACTAGCACCTTCACAACTCCCCACATCAAATAGTCTAGCAGTGTTAAATCCCACGATCTTGGAGGCCAATTCACGGCCCGAAAAGTGAAACTATACGGTTACCAAACGTTTCCTTCAATAAATCAATTATTGCGACATGTTGCGCCGTCTTATTGAAACGACAGCTCCTGCACATCATGGTTGTTCAATTGGGGAATGAAATAGGCAATACTCATAGCTCTATTGCGATAACCATTGACTGTAACGTTCTGGCCAGCATCGTTTTTGCAAAAGTACAGTCCAATGATTTCACCAGACCCTAAATCACACCAAACAGTCAGTTTTTCTAGATGTAATAGTTTCTCAATAAATAGGTACAAAATTAACCCCTCATTTTTGTTGCAGGCTTCCAGCAATGGTGAAGTGGCGACGTTCCGATGTCGCGACGTCTGCCTTCTTCACAACGTCGCCATCCGCCGTTAGATAACAATCCTTATCAAGTAAGTATTTTATATACAATTTGTTTCTAGTTTTAATCTAATTCTAACAATATTAAAAAATAAACAGTGCAGTTTCTCCTTGTGTTGAGTTATGCCGTAAGAAGAGCATACTGGCAGCTTGTACTAAATGTACTTGTTACAGCTAGTACTACACCTATACTCCATAAAATATTTTAAACTTTTACCACAATATATTGGGATATATGAAAATGAAAACAGAAAAGCGTAAGTTAATTCTTTGTTAAAATATACACAAGTATAACAGCTCTACATGCCTTGTAGGCCCCTAACTTTCACAAAGTTGGTTATTTCCCTCCAATTTTTTCGGTCCCTTGTTCTTTCTCTCCAATCTCTCAAGCCTATTTCTGACAAGTATTGATTTACTACTTCCAACCATTTCTTCTTTGGACGTCCTCTTCTTTTTCCCCATTTCCCTCTTCTTCAGTATTGTTTTAACATTTGATTCTCTGCCGTCTTTATTCCTCCGAAGATTTTTCTTAGCTCCTTTCTTTCCCAGATCTCTATTTTCTTTCCTTCCTGTTGGTTCATAATCTACTTATATTTTCGCTTCTTAAAATTTCTGGAAAAATTTTTCTAGATGTTTTTTGTTCTCGCTAGTATCTACATCATCCGCGTACACTATGCACTGTACCCTGCTATTAAAAATGGTCCTATTTGTCATATTTGATCTCCTTGCGATTGACTGTAAGATATATTTATCTGGCATGCGCTGATGATACATTACAGATCAACTAGACAAAGCAGCAAATCAAATGCATTGTTTGGTCAATGTTATTACATGACACCGGGACCTGGACTCTGAAGACTGATATGATCAATCGCCTATAGGCATTTGAGATGTGGTTGCATAAAATGGTCCGAATACCCAGGACAGCGATTCAGTGAATTATTGAAAACTATTAAAATACGAAAAATTTCATACCTAGGGCATGTTCTTAGAGGATACCGGTGTACAATCATTCAGCTTATCGTTCAAGTTCAAATCGACGGCCGCAGTGGAATTGGAGCTAAACAGATTTCATGGTTCAAGAAAAGTCGTAATTGGACAGGAATACGCAATGCCGAACAACTATTCCAATTAGCCGAAGACCGTGAATATAATTGGCAACATTAGACTGCACTGGATTATAACAAGCACCATCGACGCAATCGTCCCCTGGCTCTGAAACTGGCCGATATTAGAGGTGACCACTTTTGAAAGGTAGCCGATAGTGGAAGTTTTACTAGATATGAGATTTTATTATGAAGCTTACAAAAACAATAGATGTCTGCTGTTTCTCGGTCAAATCCAAATTCCTTTTCCGTTTTTACCTTTGTGTCCAAGTTTCACGTATTTATGATACTTAAACCTCGTAAGGCGCTGCCTTAATTCTTACGTAAATAACTGCGGATTACATTTGCATCCCATCCATATATCCATTTTTTTATGTGGAAACGTCGGGGAAATTGATTTGAAAGACAATTAGAAATTGTTTATTATACTACGAAACATAATTTTACAAACATAGTACTAATTTCTTCGTTAAAAAAATTATCGTTGCAAAACAAACCCATGAAATTTTTCACAGAGTGAGCAACACAAAAAAGTTTATACACACAATACAGTAATGGTGGAACTTTTGGTTTATTTCTCTCTGGCATAAGTAAAACCGACCTTGTCACGAATATATGTTAGCTCCACGTGGAGCATCAGAATCGTACAATTCAGGATATACAATTTTAATCATTTGACGTAACTGAGAGTGCATATTATTTGTGTTTTGATATCTGTAGATAACATTTTCTTTCGCTAATTTCCGTCCAAGCCTAACAAAAAACTTCGTCTTACATTCAAATGTTTCCCATCGTAATTTGGATTTTTTATTTTCCAAATTTAATTAGTGATAAAACATTACCGTGGGCCATCTGCGTGTTTGGCGCTGTCTTGTGTATTGTTGTGCCATTTTGCCCACTACGTCAATAGCTCATGTTGTTTTATTATAATGAAGTATCATTTTAGGTTTATAAGCTTCTTTTTCTTCACAAACTTTATCATCAAAATGTTTCGTTCACCGATCGTGGGGTGCATTTGCATCCCAGTCACTTTTCCAAAAAAGCACGTAAACTCAATGGATTTTAAAGGTTGTAATGGGCTGTAAAATCGAAAAAAATTATTAAAAAAGATAGGTGAGAGTAAGAAGGTCCTCAGACTGAGTAAATCAAATTGCTTGCGGGAAGCACCCGCAAGCAATTTGATTTACCCAGTCTGAGAGACTTGCACACCGCTTAGAATTACATTCGGGTGTTACAATTAATTGGAGCGAGGTGTATGAATTGGTGTTATCAGGAACCACCCCACCGCGTTCTAATGCTCTAGGTCCTCCTTCCCCCCCCTTAGCACTCTGATGCGTGAAAGGGGCTCACTATCAGCCAAATGCTTTTCGTGTGGAAGTCCTGGGTACAAGAACTCCCAACACGATATCCTAACTGGATCAGTGCATGCTAGCGTGAATCGCTTTTCTCCTGCTTTCTGTAGTGACGTATCATCGAACTGAAACTTCGGGCTGCGCCCAGTTCGGCGACTCAATGACATACATGACAGTTGTCATAAAACTGTCACCTTCATAAAACAATTACTCAATAAATAACACACATTTCATAAATATATCTCTCGAATAAGTATAAATTACTTTTAATAATACAATGGTATATTACATCACTTTCATTTAACGAACAATCACACACATATCTCTGCTTCATTGCAAATCTATCTCCTCAAGAACTTCCCGTTTACTGTCAAACAACTACAATAGCAGATTGAGTTCTCCATTCAACAATACATAGTAGTTTCAACCATGTTCTACCATCCATCGATTAATAGAGTACCGGCATGTAAGTAATGTTTATTTATTTGCTCATTTATTAATTTATTACAATCTAATAGACCATTTTACAACAATTTGTGGGCCTTACCTTGTCTGTTTAATTTTTTAAAACTTTTATACCTTTTTATTCAACTTACTATTTTTGAAATAAAACCACAGGCATATAATATTGGCATAATTATTGTAATTTACAACATAATATGGGTTTTTATCATTTCAGCATTTATTTAACTTTGTATCGAGACCTGAAGATGCTTTGCATATTGTAGAAAGCGAAACGGTCGTCTGATAGTTAAATTAAATTGATTGTGAGTAAGTCTTATTTATTATTTCTTTACCTAATTATATATTAATATTCGTGCTTTCCATTGATTGCCACGGGTTCTTCAGTGGCACGATGTCGTAGGCTTTCCGTAGGTCGACGAACAACATATGAATCTCTTGAATCTTTTTTTCTATTATCTGGGTTATGGAGAAAATGTGGTCAATAGTGGATCGACCCGTACGAAATCCTGCTTGTTCTTCTGCTTCATAATCTAGGTATTCTTTTTCGATTCAGTTCTTTTCACCTTTCCATATATTCGACTCATAGATCCGGTTACAGCTATTCCTCGATAATTTTCACAATTATTTTTATCGCCCTTTTTATGTATAGTACTGAGGTATGATATCTTCCATTCCGTAGGGATTTCGCTTGTGTTTATGCATTCTTGAAATAGTTGTCTAAGACATTCGTACAATTTGTTCGTTCCGTACTTAAACAATTCTCCTGGTATATACCCTGGTCCGGGTGCTTTGTTCCTCTTCACCTGTTTACATACATTTTTAATTTCCACTGTTGTTAATCTTATTGGCGAGCCAACTATTGAAATTCTATCTTGGTTTTTAATTTCTACGTTCTTTAAATTATCTACCAAAAGTTCTTTGAAATACTAAACAAGCACTATCACAATACTTATCGAGCACTAAACATTTCTATTTTCTGTAATCATTGTTTTGATATTTTCATGTAAGAAATAACTTCTTTCCAAAATTGTACATAACTTAACGCCACTATAGGTTTTGAATATTTGTAGTTTTAATTATTATACGGAATAATTATTTGCAAAGCAAAAATCTGCAAACCAAAAAATTCTTATGAATTTGTATTCAGGTAGCGAAATGTAATTCGACGGACCGTTTATTGTGTAAATGAAATTTTACACCTGACCACATAAATAGTGGGTTACAGGCCCCTCGTGGGCTATTCACCGTGTATAATTGGATTTTGTGAATTACAAAAAGTTTTGATCGAGTCGGCAACCTCTTAGGCAATATCAGATTACGCATCAGTCGCTTACTGTTTTGAGTGACACGGGCGCTGCGGGAAATATGTACAGGGTTTCGATAGAAGTTGATTGTTCTGGTTTACCAGTCAGATACAATTGATAACATTAGATGAGGCGTACGCATAACAAATGTTGAATCCAACTACTATTACTGTCATATCAAATTAAAATGATTATGCTGATTTTTTTTTTTTGAAAAGTTTCTTTCAACAAGAGACTTAATATTATCTGCTCCCTCTCAATACACTTACGCCAGCAACTACAGTTTATTTTTATGAACGAGAGAGTAATTAGCATAATTTTAACTGGTATCTCCGACCACTCCATGGGCGTGCTCAAGATTAATTGAAAAATTACTTTGAATAATTGTAAAAAATAAATGAATTATTTCAGTGTTATAAAGTGTTATGTGTATGTAAACAAAAGTGACCTCTTTTATCACACACTATATTAGAACTGACTGGTCTACATTAAAAAAGGTTTTAAAAAATTCACATTTTTTTTAATTTTTAAAAATTACAAAAGAGAAAAAGAGTTTTTTAAACCGTCTAAGGTATGTTAAATAGATGAATAAAAATATTAATATAAAACTTACAGCTACTTGTTACAAATCCAAATCAGATTCAGAAGATGAACTTTCAGAACCAAGATTTATAATAACTGGCTCGATCATTTTATCAGTAATATTGTCCAGCTTCCACATTTTTTCCTCTTCTTTAATAGTGTGATTTACTGCCTTTTCCCAGTTTTCAGGTTTTACATTATTTACGGCCTCCAAAAACAACTG